CAAGTCTTCTAGGTTCTTTTCCGCCGTCCAGCGTATCCCCCTCTTCTCGCTGCCTACTGTTTGCTGCATGATCCAGTCCACCACAATCAGGAATATCATGGGGGATAGTAGGCAACCTTGTTTCACTCCTGTCTTCACTTCAAAAGTATCACTGAGCTGGGCTGTCCATTGTGAATTACTTGGCATGTGGCATCTTCATATAGTTGTTGAATGAGGCGGATAAAGGTTTGCGGTACTCCGTAGTATTGAAGCAGTTTCCAAATTACTTCTCGGTCGACGCTGTCAAAGGCCTTCTCAAAGTCGATGAAGTTGAGGTAGAGAGCTGATTGCCATTCTATGCTCTGTTCTATGATGATGCGAAGCGTTGCAATTTGGTCAGCACATGATTTGTACTTCCTGAAGCCTGCCATTTTCTAGTAAGGCATGTTTTATTTACTGTGAAGATTTCATTTTCTAAATCACTAGGATCGGTTGTAATGTTTTTCGCCCTATTGAGTAGGTTTAGTACTACAGCATCTTTTATACTAATTGGATAATCCGATTAGATGTCTAAATATTTATCGGACTGTGTTGGTTTTCCATGTGTTTTTACATTAAATTTACCTTCACTCTTTCTTTGGAAATGGCGTCTAAAACATTTACACTACTGTTCTTAGAGTCTACTTTGCCGGTGAATTTTAATCAATTTGAAACAAAATTTATGGGTTTTAGAACGTCTGTTGGTTTACTTTCTTAAGAATGACAAATGTATCATTTACATATCAGTACAAAACTCTGAGTTCACCACAGTCAGAGGTCCTAGTGGATCCACTGCAGTTCTATTTGGTTGGCAGCGCATTCCATCTGTAAACGTGAAATATGTAGATTCTAACAGTAGCTTTCATGATTTTGTAATGTCCTATGCTGAAAGCGGACATTCAGATAATGTCTTGACTACTGATAATTGCATTTCTTACAATATCTGGACATTCGAAAATTGGTATACTAATGAGAGAGAAATTACATCAAAACTTGCCATAACTTCATCTTCTCCTATACTCACATTCAACAGTTAATTTTTGAAATGTGTTTCTAACATTTGAAGAGATGTTATATTGAAATAGTTTCCAGATTCTTGATAAATATTTAGATAGACGATAAGTTATCGAATTTGTAAGATCAATAACTGGTCTAAGACGAATCCCTGTTTCGCGGATTTTCGGTCCACCGTAGAACTGATAGTTTGTATTGTAGTGACTAACAAGAAGAGAACAGAAAATGAATTATCATGTTAAGTGGAAGAAGACGACGGCTGAACGTAAAATAATAAATGCTTTGATCCATGGTATACATAACGACACAATGCTCCAACACGATATGATTAACGATAGAACAATGACTTTTCAACTCGAATTGAAGGTATATTTACTTCAACCGGATAATGACAGCGGAGAACTCACTTGTTTACATATCCTTAGATGGCCTTGGCCAGGGAAAACAAAATATCATGCTAAAAGTGTAAAATGGACCAATCAGCGTTTAGTATCCTAAACTGTGGTAAAAATAAATAGCATGGCATGGCGCAAAGCTGACACGAAAGTAAGGTTCAAATGTCACAGTGATGCTATAAACATATTATAAGTTAGTTTTTCTTAGGGACTAGGCATCCCTTGCAATAATGATAATGGTAACAATAGTAATGACAGTAAGGATAGTAACTGCTTATAGGATGAACATAGGGAAGGCAGCGAGAAGAGGGGGATACGTTGGACCGGAGAAAAGATCCTAGAGGATTTGGATTTCGCCGATGAATTGTGTCTAATGCCGCACAAACTTGAAGATCTATAGGCAAAAACTAACAAGTTGACAGAAGAGGCAGGGCAGCGAAGACGGAACTTCAAGTGAACGTAGATAAGACAGAGGTGATGAAGATACCCGACCAACACCACCACTACCACCACTGAAAACAACAACAGCAACAAGCTCCAATCACCATCAGTGGAAGAAACTTAAAGGAAGTAGCCTCTTTCACCTATCTAGGCAGCAACGTCTCAACTGCAGGCGGCACACATGAGGATGTCAAAGCGAGGATCGGAAAAGCAAGACGTGCTTTCATTAACCTGAAGCCAGTGTAGAGATCTTCTGCACTCAGCATAAAGCGTGAACAAGATCCGGATTTTCAACACGAACGTCAAGTCAGTGTTTCTGTGTGATGGTTCAGAAACTTGGCACGTTAGGAAGGTGATTTCTAACAAACTACAGACATTAATCAACAACCGCCTACGCTCGTTACTGAAGATCACATGGCCAGAAATAATAAGCAACAAGGAACTCTGGAAACGAACTAACCAAGAACCTGTCACCCAACAAATATGCAGAAAGAAGTGGAGATGGATTGGACTGGGCATGTACTAAGAAGACCGTTCGGGGACATCACGCACCAGGCACTTAAGTGGAACCCAGATGGTAAACGACGAGTTGGGCGTCCGAGGCGAGGGTGACATGGAGAAGATCATGTGAGGAAGAAATGAGAGCTTCTGGGCTGACGTGAAGCGAGGTTCAAAAGATTACAGAGAAGAGAGTGGAATGGATATGTTCTACTGAAGCCCTATGTTCCACTAGAAATTCAAGGGACAAATAGTAATAATAATAATAATAATAATAATAATAATAATAATAATAGGGAAGGGTGATTTTTTCACACGTAAGCTATACAGACGGCCAAGGCAGAGAAAGAGTCTGTTCGAATTTCTTTTGAACACACAGACTCGGCTTTCTCAGGTAGATTTCGATAGCTTCTTACGGTATGTAAAAGACTGTCTCGTGGAGTACGGGTGAGATTCGAAGGAATGTGATCAGTAACTGTAAAGGGATTATAAATATTAACTCGGTGACTAGCGTCGATCAGATGAGAGGGTATTGAGCTCCGCACCGACCTTGTTTGTCCTTTACTTAGCCATGACGGATGATATTCGGTGACTCGATGACGGATTTGCCCAGCTGTACGTCCAGTGTAACTAGCTCTGTGGGAGCAATTTAACTGGTAAGTGCACATAGAAGAGACGAAGTTAGGTAGTTTGTCATTCATTAGCTAAGTCATCATCGGCCGACTGTAGAATATACGGCGTAACTTTGCTGCACTATATGGTCTTCTCATAACATGTCATTGGTGAGGTTACCTCAAAACTGTAGTCTTAGAAACAGCGGTTTCCTGGGAGCTGTGAGTACTCGGATCTTTACGCTAGATGCATTGATTTATGTAACTGGGTTGTGGATAGTTTGAAGTTCTTCATCGGAGGTATCGTCCAAACAGATGAGTCTTGCCAGATGGACTAAACATTTGACTAAGTTTTCTTTATATTTCAAAGGGATGAAGCCCGAAAAATGAGTCCATAAACCAGTTGACACTTGTTTCCGATATACACTTCGTTTTATAGTCCCATCCGTCTTTTTCGTCAATTGGATGTCTAAGAAGTTGATGCTATTATCGCTTTCTCTCTCAGTGGCGAAGGTTATCGCTGGATGGACACTGTTAAATAATTACATATCTCGGGTAGACTAAGACATCGATTTAGGTGCAACAACATTGAAATGAACAGTTTTTACAGGTCAAGTGGTAATGCAAAGGGAAGGAATGGATTTTCTAATTTAGCAGGTCGAAGATAGGTTACGTAGTCAGTCATCAGTTCGGATATAAGAGGAGTCTAAATAACCATACGGATTTCAGGTGACAGAATTATGATAGTAATATTGACATTGGGGTGAGTAGTGAATGGGTTGAAGGCGGATTACATCCTTCTGAACATGGCAGTACAGTAAGAGAACCAGGTGTGTATTGAGATGACTGGTAATGGTAATGGGGACAGGGTCAATTAAATGGAACAGATCAGGGACGGAAAACCAGAATATAAGGTAGGGGTAATAATTAAAGGCAAATAGCAAGTGTGGAAGTTGAAACATGATTACCAATCTAACTAGAAGACATTGCAATTTATACCATGGTAGATTCAAGCTAACTGCTATTTCCTTCTGAATGTAGAGTTTTAGTTTGACAACTCGAATTACAGAAGCTTCTGTAAGTCTAAGCATCTTCTCGTTCTACTATCTGCTGATAATCATAAAAGACTTATAAGTATCAGTAGGGTGCCCTTAGTTCAGTGGATGTTTCGTCAGCTAACTTCTCAAGGTCTTCTTTTCTGTACACTTCAAACATTTAGGTAGGTAATCAACCATTCGACTAGACAAATGCTTCTTCATACCACACGTAAATATCCACTCACTAGGATAGTGAAGGAAGTTGAACATAATCTGAATTGCAACAGCATTCCAATCAGTAGCTTTTAGGTTAATGGCCCAGTGTTCTACTGACTAAGTTACAAGAATCCAGCACCAGAGGTTGAATTCGATCCAGCTGGAAGTTGGGTGCCTAGCGGAGTCAAGAGAATATTAGGTTGGTAACATGAAGTTTGCTATCTTGAATGTTATCATGATGTCAGTTTCTACCGAGCTAATCATACCGTCCTTTAAATCATACTGGGGGACGCTAGACGATTTTACTTCAACAACAAATGAGATTTTTCCATATTTCATTGGAATTTCATGATTCGATTATGTAGCATGATATTTCACAACTAAATGTGTCTTAACATTTGATATTGAAAGTATGGCAACGAATCAGTATGAAATGAAATGCTTTTGCAGGTGATTTAATCTTCTTGAAGAAATTAAGAAATTAATTTCTCTGATGTTCGATATAGATATGACTGCAAGGACATCCGGCTGACGAGTGTTAAGTGGGACGAAGCATGCCTCCAAATACCATCGTTTGCTAACGCAAAATAAAAAGAAGCAAAACAAAAATACAGCTTATATATTTAAATACGTACGGGTAGTTTTCAGTGTCAATTGGTTTTTACAGTCTTTATAACGAAAGACGCAAAATTTAAGTGATTTCTAGACTTGTTTATAAAATATCTTTTGCATACTGTTTTATTCGATTCTGTGTTTTTTAGACAATGAAGGCTAAACCAATTTTAGTCATACAAAATGGCGTGGGTGAATCATTCTCAGCTTTAAATTAGAACAGTGATTGGACAATTTCACAAATTTAACTTTGGTCAAAAATACAATCAGTCAAATCGGTTAATACCTAAAGCGAAAACACTGAAGAAGTCTTTTATTGGTTGTAATGAAGTGGCCTTCATAAATGACCTTGAAGAAACGTGGGCGAGGCCTACTACGCTTATATCGCTTGTTTACTAACAAAACGCATGTCTAGCGATAAAAGCAAGGCTCATATTTTTCAATTATATTCGTTCGAAAGGTTGTGGATTTCTTCATCGATAACCTCAAGCATTTATGATTAATATGGATGCCTTTGTTGAAGCATTTTTTGCCATCGACCAAGACCATTCAGGTTAGACCCCATAATTATTATATAGTATTGTCAAATTCTCGTTATTTATATTATTTAAATTTCTCCCTTTATCTGGTTCAAGTCAACTGGAACTGAGAATTAGATTATAACTAGGGAATTATTGCTATGATATGCAGAGAGATATGCATCTGTCCATTTAAGAGACTCAGATAGCTGATGGTTGATGTTAAAAATAACGATCTCTGATTACCAGTCAAGGTATGTAGGCAAATTGATAGGACACCTGGTCAATAAACTAGATCCTACTAATTGTTTGTCAATTTCGGCCAGTCTACCGACCATGGCCGATCATTTACAGTGATTTCATGAGAATCCATAGTGTGAGATATTTTAAATACTGTACGAGCTGGTATCTTGTTTCGTCATCCACGTTTGATGCGGACTAATGCACTCAAGGATAAGGAACAGTGGCATTTCTAACTGTTCAAGTGGAAACATGCGAAGTGACTTAAAGTGAAAATGAAATGCACTCAGGTACCATGTGCACGTTTGTTCAGTAGTAAGTGATCCACACATGTGTGAAGGTTACGATGCTACCCGGCTGCCAAGACGGCTGTAAACGTAGTGGAGATTGAACAGGTTACTCACTGGTTGCAAGTTGAGTTCCAGTTTCAAACCTCCACATGTACTCAAAGAAATGTTGATTTGTCAGAGCGGAATGGGGACCAACTCAACTCTTATGTTGAAATGTGATGATTACTGGATTACGGGCAGGACAGAGCACTTTCAGAATATCCAGGGGATCATTAGTTTGGTTATTCAATAATGGGCTGAATAATTTAACACTGGTACAGTATATTTCTTATTGTACAATCGTTGATTGAAAAGATACTCCTGTCGAATGTTTTATACCCATCGAAATTTATCAGGACGATATTATTAAAACTCTACTAGTCGAGGTGTTTTATGACTAACTGCCTTTGGAATTACCTTCTCAGACAAATAAGCCATACAAAATGGCAGCTGAAAGCCTTAATAGAACATTGTTAGGGGATCTGATTTGTGCAACATCTTCTTTCTGGCCGCCTCCCATCATCCTTATGCAGAACTCACTCTCTTTTTGCTTTTCGTTAAATTTATAGAAGTTCTGCCAACAAACAGTGTTATCCCTTATTTTATGCAGTTCCTTTCCCCTTGTTTGGACCCATAGAATTCAACGTTTGAAATTGCTTCACTACCACTAAGTACTGTGTTCAGTACTATTTTGAAGGGTTCTTTATCGCTCTCATCATTACAGGATGACATTATTTCAAGCAATTGCCAGTGGGTGCGTACTGCTAAGGAGCGCCATACTGAGATGAAACAGCTGTCTAGGTTTTCAATTGTTCTCCAACTGATGTCACTCCATGATGAGTGCTACCTTAAGAACGACCTGTTTCTTCTTTAATTTTAATAAACTAAACCGGGAAACACCACTGAATTAGGTCAGATATCGTGTTGCTCTAGCCCCCATCTCCGTCTCCCCACCCCCTGAGATTCGTATTATAGTCTAATTTTATCACAGACATTCTTTAAGTATCAGCGATCCAGTTCATGCCTAATTTATACGCACATGGATTAGTTATTAAGAGATCAATAAATTTTATACCGACTGATTGAAAATTTTGTTTACAATTTCAACATTTTACTTCTTTTTTTATCCTTACCCAGAATAAACATTTTTCTCATTTATTGATTGATTGACGTTTACTTTCAGAAACTATCACAACAGATGAATTACAAACGTATATGGTTAAAAATGACATGGATCCTGCTTTTATTGCGGTGAGTAGTACACTTCAGTATCCTTAATTTTAAGCCAAGTTTACTCCATTGTATGATATTTCAAAGAACATCTTGTGTACACATATAATAATGGTGATTAGGTGATACGGTTAAGCAGCGTAATGAGAAGACGACGATTATCTGAACCATACGCTTATAGGATCTGTTTAGGGGCGGAGGGAAATAGTAAACGTTCATCTTCATCTATTGCCACTCATACTAGAAACTAGTCATAGGGTAGACATGAAAACAGCCTTGAAAGTATTACATAAAAATAGTCAGGACCGAGTGCTTAAATTGATTGAAACTCCGGTCATTCATTATTTTGAACTCAAAAGTAATAAATACTCATGTTGAACCTACCTTATTAGTATTGATTTTAATTTTCATACCAATAGTTCCAAAAGCCCATGTCTGTGTGTGATCAGATTGTTCGAAATATGTATAACACTAATACAACATCGCACATGTTTCAAATAATCTTCGTCTTCTCAGTACGCTGTTTAAATTTATCAAAGGAACTAATTGCTTTAGATTGATAAGGTGTTTATGTTGTTTGAGGTTGACAAAGATCTTATCTTTCAGAGAGTATTCATCATGTAGTGACGTCAGTTGGAGAACCATTGAAAACCTGGGATCACTGGACTGCTGTTTCATCCTAGTATGAACACCTCCACAGCGTGAAACCATGACCCAACTAGGGGTGGGACTCAGGAGCTGCAGGTTTCACGGCGAAAGCATTAACTATTCAGCCACCTGGTCGGAGTTTAATGGTTCACAGTTTCCTGCCTCTGTCACTTCGCGATACAGTGCGTCTATCCACTAAGGCATCCGGTTCACTTTCGATTTAGTCAAACCCACAAGTTATGGCCGCTCATGTCACTAACGAGCATCTCAAACCAATCATCACTGTTGTATAATGTGAAGTGAAGCGAATACCAATCGATAAGGTGTTTGTTTACTGGCTCTATCCACATTCCATTCAACAGAAAGGTCACTTATTAATGGCAATGTTTTCTTTTGTAACTGAGTCGCTTTAATTAGTTAGATGGAAACAGTTCACAGACTTCAATAACCCAATTCATTCTTGTACATAGATTTAGTTGTTATGTAGATTATCCACTGACTTTAATAACTTGATATTCTAAATAATCATCTTGAACAGTGTATATTTTCTAAACTCAACTGTATTTCGCAGTAATGATGGATAATGGTTAACAGTGGGATCCAGGAGGTGCATTTCGTCCGATTTTGTACTCGTCAGCTGCATATACCTGCCTCTCAATGAGTTATGTTGTTCCCATTGAGATTTAACTGTATTCCACTTCGCAACTGTACTTTTTCTTCAACCCAGACACCCAAAGTTCAATAAAAGTTGTATTGTAATCTGATTAAGTTAACTATGCTTACTGTTATATTTGGCTAGGATTGTTTTCATTGAAATTAATGGAGATGGTTCAACTGTTTACAGTTTCTTTGTTCACTGAATCGATTATCAGATGGTAATGAAGTTAGCTGTCAAATCTGTAGTACTGATTACGTTTTATTGACCAGGGAGTGAAATAATATGATGAAATATTGTGATTCAATACAATTCTGCCAATAGCTAGAACAGCTTAGTAACTGTTATGAATATGCTGGGTGATAAATGGAAGTGAAGTGAAAATTTGGACCGCGGCCGGAATTGAAACATTGACCACCCTGTTTCCATTCCGGTTGTGATTCGAATCTGGCTACGGTCCCAATCTTCATTTCACCTTCAATCATCACCCGGTATAGAGACTAGTCTGCAGGAACTACAGTTATCTCAGATAGTCAAAATGATAACTGTTATGAATAGCAAAATGGATTTTTTCAACTGATCATGTGATTTAACTTGTACTGGTGGGTATGGGATAGTAATTATTGGCGAAAAAGAAAACACATATAACTCATTACAAAAAAATTCAATAAAATGTCTGATAAATCATATATAATCCCTTAACAATATAGGTGTTTAAATCTCTTATCTTCGAATGAAATATACTACTGAAAACGTGAGCAGTCGGAAATCACTCAAACTTATCTGGAGACTTTGCTAAGGAGATCAAAATGATCTAAACACCAGGTGGCTGTTTGAACCATTTGGGACTGAGGTCGTCAGCGGTGTATCTGAACCAGTGCAGCTTACAGAAATCAATTGTTAAGATCAACTGAGTCTGCTTAGCTTACCTGTGTTCATGTTTTTTTCCATGTCTTATCTTGAGAGAATATCTTGGTCTCAAGTGGTGGAGCGTTGATGTTGAAGCAGTTAAAGGTAGTTGTCTTAGACTGTGAATTTCAACAAAAAGAGAACAGTTCCACTCTCAGCACCAATATGGTTCCTCGTCGTTGACTGCTGACTAGTTGGGTACTTCATTTGGAATTTTTTGACTTTCCTCAAAATATTGAATGCACATACTGTTCTCTTATATTGATCTCAGTGACTAGCGAGGAGTCAAGGACGCAAATTTCGTCCTATTTCGGACTCGTCATTTGGATGTACCTGCACCCCAGTAATCAGTGATGTTGTTACCACTGAGGCTCGAACCCAGTACCCTTCTCACAGCATAGACTTTTCTTCTTCAATTCACTTATACTTCATTGGCTTTGTTTTCTTTTGAATAATGTTGGTATGAGCCACCCGTTACTTTTGTTTAGACACCTCAATCCTCCATTCTTTAACTTCATGCCTCAGTATTTTCACATTTTAAGTACTTTGTAAAGTTCAGTGTATTTTCACATGTCCGTGGGCTAAGGACATTCCAGCCTTTTTGATTCGAAAAAAGTGTTTTTCATCTACAGGAACTATTATAAACTATTTTCAACATTGATGTAATTTGCTGTATCATTTATCTATCTACTTGGAGATACGTAATCCTTCTGTTTGTTTCTGTGATGATTGAAAGTAAATCTCAGGATAGAAGCTAAATAGTTATAACTGAGTCAACATTTGTTATTTCTTCTACTATGTATTATTAAACCCTCAGTTTTATTCATAACTAAATCCACTGCTAGCCACTGCCCATCATTAATAAACATAGTTAAAAGACAGGCCATATCGAGGCATCCGCATAGGAGCCCATATGCCAACAGAGGCTGATCAATTCGGTCCTATCAACGACGGTGTAATACAAGCAATAACACTAAATCCTACTTCAATGAAATCACAAGACAAAACAATTTTTATTGATCACAGGACTATGTGATTACAGCTCATGATTTGATTAGGACTTAGTGCACTGATATTCTAATGAATTGTCCTCGTCTAAAGTGAATGAGTGATTTTAATTCACCTAGTGAGATTGATCTATAAAGCTTTATACTCTGTTGTAGTCAACCAAACAATTAGTTTCAGGTATTCTTTGAAATTGATTTATCCCTCAGCAGTAGCATTCATCATGAACTATTATCATCTAGAGAATCATCGGAAACCTAGGTTCACTGGACAACTGTTTCATCCCAGTATGAAGATTTCTGAGGACTGCTATACTGGGACGAAACACCTGTTCAGTGCTCCAAGGTTTTTAGTGGTTTTCTGAGTTAAATCAGTCCATAATGAATACTAACTTAAAGTAAAACATTTCATTAATTATAGAAAAGCTGAAAATTCACGCTTTCACTTTTATTTTAGTGGTTTTATCTACGTGGAACTATTGGATTGATGTTTAGTTGACCGAACACTGAACTATAATAGTCAAGTTGATATTATTTGACTAATTCAATAACTATCAACTCACTGTACCTTCGATTGGGGAATGCTGGCTTATTGACTTGAGTACACACTTTTGAAGTGATGAGTCCTCGGTTCGACCTAGGAAATTGAGTAGTACCGTAAACGTACACTATTAGTGTTGCTCATGACCTAGGAAATGCACTATACAGTGTTGTTATACGTGAAGAGCGCAACTAGTAAACCACTGTTTAAAACCTGAGTACCTAAGCCACCAAACCACAGCTAGGTGGTGATGTATTTCATGTATGGAATGTGTGTATATTGGGATCAGGGGGTGAGGGAAAGCAGAACTATTTAGTTTTCTCTGTGGCATATGTACTTTTTCTGGTTAGCCATAAAGTAAGGCTATTCAAGACTAGTTCAAAGCCATCCTTCCACCCATATAAATATTTAGGGATTTTTGAAGCATTTCTAATCCATTTAAGCATTGTTTGTGCATTTCCCTATTATTTCAACATTATGTAACTTTTATGCTCCTCCTAAGAATTGACTGATTTTCAGTGTTTACGTTGTTCAACAACTTTTGCGTGTTGGATTAATTACTAGTAACAATTTAATATATTATAGTAAACTTTGATAAATGTCTTATATCGAAGAGCTCTCTCATATCCATGTGTAGAGTTAGGGGTCGGTAGTTTAGAGAGAGGATTATCAACCATTAGGGCACGGGTTCGGGTCCCGCTCCGCCTACCGAGGTTTAGGTAGCCAGGTAATATCATCAGCCCTCCCACAATAGGTGTGGCTCATTGCCAACTGCACGGATGTACGCAAGACAGCTAGGTATGTTTCGTCGTTCCGGTTATTCCATTGCATTTATACACTGCATAACGACGGATACTGGATGGGATGGTTGATTGGTAAGAGCCAGGGTGTTCTTCCCATCTGAATCGACTTATGATAGATAAACAGACAGATTATACAAATAAACATAGAACCTAGCACACAAACTCATCATTTGCACTTACCAAATTTCACAACACCATGCAAAGAAAAAGGGAATAGATAAAACTGATACCAAAGTAGACAATCGTGTGCAAGAGAAGAGAAAATCACAAAATGAGGACTAGTCGAAACATTCAAGCTTTAAAAGACTTGAAAGAATGAATCATATGCGACACTGTCGCTGAAACGAGGAAGGGCAGCAGAACCAGACAAACTAACTCCAGAGGTATACAAGGATGCTGGTAAGGTGCTCTTAGTCAGGTTAACGGAAGTGTTAACCAGTAAATGGGAATCAAATGCGATC